TTACTAGGAAGAGCCGATTCTTCTATTCTTGCAGGAGGTGCACTTTCTTCTGCCTGATAACCAACTTCATTTGTAGGCATTTCTTCTGTTTGACAAGCAACTTCCATATCTATTTCCATAAAATTAGTTAGTATATCATAATACCAGTAGGAGAATAATTAAGACAACTTCATAGTTTCTAGTCGCCATATATAAACCTCACAAAGATTTTAAGCACAAAAATACTATAGGGTTTTTAACCAAAATGAATGAAACACACAATCAAAGATCTTCATAGGTTTCTGGTCGTTCTGTATAAACCACACAAGAAAATTAAAATCCATAGGGTTTTTAATCAAAACGAATGAAACACACAATCAGACATCATCATAGGTTTCTGGTCATCCTGTATAAACCACACAATAAAATTAAAATCTATAGGGTTTTAAACCAGAACGAATGAAACACACAATCAGACATCATCATAGGTTTCTGGTCATCCTGTATAAACCACACAAAAAAATTAAAATCCATAGGGTTTTAAACCAGAACGAATGAAACACACAATCAGACATCGTCATAGGTTTCTGTTCATCCTGTATAAACCACACAAAAAAATTAAAATCCATAGGGTTTTTAACCAAAACGAATGAAACACACAATCAGACATCGTCATAGGTTTCTGGTCATCCCGTATAAACCACACAAAGTTTTTCAACACGCTTTAGAACGGCGCGTGCTAGTTGTTGTGCTTCTGAAAATATATAGGGTTTTAAACTATAACGAATGAAATACAAAATTTGACCTACTGTTTTGACGTAATTTTTTTTTTGTAATCGTGCTTCCTTTCTTTTTCTTGCAGCTTTGAGTTTTGATCCCTTACTAGAATGTTTATGTTTTCCCATCTTTATTTAGTATCATAAGAAAAATTGACGAAGGGGAGTATGAAGTAAAAGACGAAAATAAAGGAAAGGAGAATGGAAAGATAAAAATAACATTCCAATTATATTTATATCTTTAATTGATTTCTAAATTTGGAAAGGTTAAACATGGTAAATTAAACTCGAGCATGTGATATAATATTAAAATTAAAATTACTTTTTATTCAAACACGCAATAATATTAAAAATATCGTGAAAAAATATTTATTAAAGAAAGTTAAAAAGGTATGAAAAGTTTGTTTGATGAATCTCAAAGATTTGAATTTGAAAACATGGAATAGATTCAAACTTTAGGATAATCGTCAAATATATAAAAAGGGTAAAATTTAATTAATGATAATGTTAATTTTTTTTTATTCATTTAATTAGTTTAATAAATTAAAATTCGAAAATGAATCATTTAGAATCAAAATCAAATATTCGAACCTAACTTACTACGACAAAATTCGACATGAAAGGATTTATTATATTTTGTATTTCGATAAAAAATATTAGCTAGTAACATCATAGGCTTATTGCAAACCGCCGGCAGTTGGAATTCTTGTATTTTTATTGAATAAAAAAAAAATAAAATCCTTGAATTAATTTTTTTTTTTTTAAAAAATTTCCAAGTGAATCTACTTTCGTCATGCTCAAAAAATCATTGCTATCCCCTTAAAAATAAACATTCGATATACTGTAAAAAAGTAAGGTATCCTACTATCAAACAACGGGAGAAGTAAAAATTCTAGCATTGGAATTTTAAAACATTGAAAAAGAGGAGTCGGGATTAAATATTTTTAAAATTGGTTTTTTTTTTATAATTTGCTCGCATTAAATATGCTTGGCATATTAAAATATACCGGAATAATTACGCGAGATGAAAAAAGTTCGTTTGCTATTTGAATAAACGAGCGTGTTTAGTGTTGTTATATAAAAAGTCGTTCAAAATAACACAGATATAAATCATTAATATAAAAAAAAGACTTTTACAAATTTAATTCATTTAATTCATTAAATTAAAAAAAATATTTTTTTGCTATTTAAACTTATAATTGATTGAATAATAAAAATCTATTTTAATTAATTTAATACAGAGTTTGAAATTTCTTTTTTTTGATTTTGCTACTTTTGGATTCGTTCGATAATCAATGTTAAAATGGATAACTTGGTTGAAATTATTTTGTCTAAAAAAAAAAAGTAAATACAATTCTTATAAACATAGCCTACTTTTTTAATGTATTCTAACATGTGAAATTTTAAACTAAATTAAAGCAATAAAATATTTGTGATACAAACTTATAGTATTAGGTGAAAAATTATATTTATATGCAAATTTCATAACTAAGTTCAATACACTTCTTTATTAATTTATTGCATTACAATCAAGGCACTCCCCGTCCGTATACTGAAATTTATAAAAAAAAAAAATTAATATTCTGTAATTCAACAAAATATATATATTAAACAAATGAAATTACCGGATGACCATTAGCACATTCATTCCAATGTCCTGAAATAAGAATTTAATAAAAAATTGATTTCGAAAAAAAAAGATTCGGACTAATATTAAAATATCCATCTTAACATACCTGTATTTTTAAAATCAGTTTTTATTGCACGATAAATTTCTAATTTTCCTTCAATATTTGTCTCTTGCATAGTGTCTAATTTATTGGGATTTAGATCATAGCATTCATCACGAATTGATACAGACTCTTGCAAAGTAAGCGAAGTTTCGTTAAGATTATTATCATAAGATTCAACTAGTTTAATTAAATTATTTAATCTGCTATCAATAAGGCCTTCAAATGATTCATTTGCAATATTATATGTAGAAAAATTGGGAAATATATTATGAATACGATCTTTCATAATTTTCGTCTGAGGGATATTATTAAATGATGACGAATATTTTAATTGATACATAAGCTTATTAAGATCCAATTCTAATATTTCGATATTGGCCAAAAGTGAGTGTCTACAATAATGAGTAGATTCTGCCACTACCTTAATCGTATTTAGGTGTTTTTCAATAGAAAGTTGTAATCTTTCACCAAATTTTTTCCAAACTTCTTCAACTCTTGTAGCTATTGGTCTTTCAGCTTTCATGATTTTTTGAAGTACAAATAAAAATTCATTGAATAGAAATTTTTGTAAGTTGACTATTTCAAAAAGTGTGTCTAAATAAATTCTACGGTCTACTTTCGATATCGTAATTCCTGTTTGAGAGAGTAAATTTTTAGGAGTTGAAAAATCGTCATCATCTGAAATTTTAAGATTAGATAATTTAACGATTAAATCATTTTCAGGATTCACTCTTGCAAATTTAGCTTGATATCTATGAAAGAAATTAAAGTTCAATTAAAAAAACCTCATTATACTTATTAATTAAATGATGAATTTATTTATACTTACAAAGTTGAAGTGGATGCATCAAAAGCTTTCTTATGAGGTGGTGATTTTGTCGCACGAATAATGGACATTAATTCTTGATAACACTTTAATAATTCTCTGACACGATCCTGCCAAATTTTTTTACTAATTTTGTCAAATCCATGAAATGAGTCAACATATTTAAAATATTTACAAGGGATAACCTCGGGTAATTGATACTCTCCAAGAAAACTTTCCTTGAGTCTAGAATTATCAGCGGGCAAATAACCTAGACCGCGTAATATTTTCTGGTTATTTTTCATACTACCTTCAAGTGAAACAATTCGCTTGGTAACATTATTCAATAAATTATCATATTTTGTTAAGAATTTTTTGTTTTGTGCGTCCAAGGTGCATTTGTTAACTATTCTTCCATATCTCCTAATATTTTTGATGGGTGTTCGACAATCTGGACATGTTTTTATATTTGCAAATGATGTTGGAAGGATTTTAACTGAAGTCCATCCCCATTTGATTGAACCTTCATAATAATCTTCCATTCCCATATGCATGTCCATAGTTTCCATGGTAAATACATGTCCACAAGAAAGAACGATCATCTTATTCCTGTCCCAATCCACTTCATTAAATAAAGTTTTCATAATTTCATCTGACACTGTTTTAAAAAATGAATTGATCAAAAAATGGTAATAACATCAACAATAAAAAAAAAGGTAAACCTTTAAAGTTTTTATATACCTTGTCTTTTAACAGATTCAGGAGCACAAGTATTGCAAAAATCTTTTGTAGGACAAATTTCTCCACAAACTCCAGCACACATATGGCCACACTCCAACCTCTTGTTACATTTCTCATTACAAGGCAATCTAAAACAAGGAACTCCACAATTTAATCTACATCTTCCTTGATGCTCACATTCCCATGGACATGTTTCTGCGCATACGGAACAAGGTTCTATACAACGTTTATCACACGATGAATGATCACATGATATTGTACATCTAGCACTACAAGGCGAACATGCGCTCCCTTCATGACAATTTTTTGCACACATATGTCCACAAAATAATGATTTATTACATATATGTTTACATTTTGCATGCTTTGTTCGTTCAATAGGGACGATTCCGCAATTAATATCGTCTTTGATTTTATATTCACCAGGCGTTTTCGAAAGGTTTTGACAGCCATGACACCGATCCAAACATTCGTGATTACAATTTAACGTTTTTCCGCATATTTGATCGCACTTAACGCTATCAACAGATTCATGACACTAAAAAAAAAAATAAATAATTTATTAGAAAAGACATAAAAGATCAGTAATCAAGCAAAGTAAAAAAAAATTTACTAACGAAAACGGTTTTTGAGTGTTCGCAACTTGGCAATTTTTTTTCAACTCGAACCATACATTTGACATTATCAACGGATTCATAACACTAAGGATATAAGCAAAATAAATTACTGTATAAAAGATAATTAATAAATAATTAAATAAACAAAAGATTTACTTACATAAATGGTTTTTGTGTGTCCACAACCAGGTAGTACTGTTGGGACTGAAGTAAAGCACTTAAGTTCTTCCTTCTTTTGATTTTGCCAACATTTGGCATTTTTCAAAATATGTCCGCAAACAGGTAATATTATATCACCCATAGAAAAATTACACATTCCGCAATCTTCAAAACAAAGTTTTGGACATGTATGATTACATTCTGAATGTAATTTCGTACAACGTTTTTGACATTTAGTTTTAAGATGTTGAGGATCATCCGAATGGCACAGGGAAATACATACGTGCCCACAAAGAAGTTTTGCACCACACGGCTGAAATGAAATTTAGAATAAAGCACATATTATATAACAATGAAAAAAAACTTGAAGAATTTAACTTCAAATATGACTTTACCAGAAAACATCCACCATCAGGACTAACTTGTTCAAATTGTTCAGGATTATTAATAATATGCTTGTATTCAGGATGCTTATGACATTCAATTGGCATGCCAGAACCAACTTGCGGAGGATTTCGTGTTCGTAACATATCAATTACAGGAGTCCACATCTTTTCAGATCTTGTGGCCATCAATTCAGAATTTCCAATAAGATACATTCCTTCTCTTGCACGTGATAATAATACATTACTTCGATTTGTGCTCTTTATGAATCCAATAGTGTCATACCTATCAGAATTGGAGAAATTACGAACTAAAGAAACGATTACTATGGTTGCTTCTTCACCCTGGAAATTATCTACTGTTCTTAAAGTAACTTGTTGATATAATGATTTTTCTGAAGTAGAAGCACTTATATTTTCATTGGAATCATTAGCAATTTCTTGCTCTTCCTCCATTTCAGCAAGATCTTGTGAATCTCTTTCGTCCAAGACAACAACAAATAACCTTGATAAGGCTTCCTTGATTCTCATCATTTGTCCCAAATAAGGAGTAAGTACGGCTATATCATCAGATTTAGTATATCCATTCTTAATGAAATATTTTACCATCTCCACTACCATTTTGACTTCATAATTATTCACATGAGATAGCGTTGCAAATTCTCCGTCAGAACTATCTTCTGGATGATCATGATTAATAAAATATACATTATGTTGAGCACCACGTACTTTTTCATATTTAGCAGTATTTTCACCATCCTTTAATTCCTCATATAATGTGTATCTAACTAGATCAGAAATTTCAATTTCTCTCATTCGTCTCTGAGTTAAAAGTTGTACTTTATCAATTTTAGCCGAATTATCACCTTTAACTAACCTTTCAAATAATGATTTATCTAATTGATAATTTTTTCCTAAATTTGAATCCATACTAAGGTCATAGGTAGCAATATGTGGTCGAAGTTGATTTGGATCACCGATCAATATTAAATGTTGAGTTAAGGGGGTTAATGCACTAAGGATATGAGCTTCAAGCACTTCACCAGCTTCTTCACAAATAATAATCTTTGGCTTGATAGATTTAATTAAATTTTGAAATTTAGCTGCTCCATTTGTGGTCATACCAATAACATCACAAGATAATAACGTTTGACGACGACCTTCGTCATAAACGTCACTCCATTCATTACGTATTCTATCATACATTGTTTGTAATCTTGATAAAATTTCTTTAGATTCCTGACTAACTTTTATACGCCAATAATCATGAAGAGTAATTCGTTCCATCCTTGACATTTTCCAAATTGAATTTATATTTAGTAATAATTCCAAAGGACGATTTGTTTCAGGTTCTTCGTAATCCAATATCCATTGTATTGTTTCATGGTCGGTTTGTGATTCATCATCATCACTTGAGTCCGTTTCACTTTCATCATTATCTAAAAATACGAACTTGTTATTTGTTGACTTTTTCTTTTTTTTCTCATTCATCTGTTGTGTATTTAACAAAATATTCTTTCTAGAATTAATCATTTCAATATCCATCCCTTTTAACCATTTCTCGAATATGGGAATATTCGCTGATCTATTATGAACAAACTTAAATTCATTCAAAAATTCTTCTTCATCACTATAAGTTCCTAAAACCCAACTTGGCAACTCATAATTATGCACGCGATCAAATTTATTATAAAACTTTCTTTCGTTCTTCTTCAGGTAACTGGATAAATCCTTCCATCTCAACCTGTTATTGGACAAAGTGTTGTTAAGTTCATTAACGCGACTTTCGATTTCTTTTAATGAATTACGTAATTCGTATCCTTCTTTGCCATAAGAATTGGTTCTACAAACATTTTCTATATTATATTCTTTAATCCTTTCAGATTTCGTCCGAGAGCCCAATCTAACTATATTTTTTATGTTTATGTCAAGCAAATGCTATGAGAGTGAATTATATGCATTAGTACTTTAAAATACAATCCAGCAGGCATTTAAATTTTTAAAAAAATTAAGGTTTATAATGCAATACCTCTAAGAATTGATCAAGGGCGTGATTTGTAAAGCAAATGGTGAGAATGGGACCAATCTTTGTTTTTCGATTTTCTTTTGCCAATAACACCTTCATGATCTCAATTCCAACTACAGTTTTTCCAGTACCGGGTGGACCTTCGATCAATACAATCTCGCGTGTTAGAGCGGAGATTAATGCTTTCGCTAAAATATAAAATTTTTATAAAGTAAAGGTTGAATTCCTGCAATCAAACTTGAATTTTCTTTCACATTGAGGTAATCACCTTGAGTTTCATCCAATTTACTATATTCGTTAACCTTCTTTGCTACTTCATTGTGGCTGCTTGTATCGGCAACAACTAATTTTAACGTTTGCCGCTTATCACATAAAATCGATAAGTCAAATTCAAAACTCGGTGCTCTAGTGTACATTGGTGGTTCAACTACGACATAACTTGATTCACGCATGTCATCAATATTCGGAGCAAAATATTTTTCAAATGGGAGAGAAGAAGGATTTGAAGATTGAAGGGTTTTAAGAATATGATAGTAAGATTCTAAATAAACTCCGGTTGATTCAACCATAAATCTTTGTTCTAAGGATCTATCTGTTACCTTTTGAAGATTTGAAATCTCATTTAACGCAATAGGATAAATTGATAGATTAGTAAAGTTAATACAAATATCAGCATAATCCGCATGCTTGGCCAAAGCTCTTTCATCCCTTGATGCTACCACACCAAAGAAAACCAGGTACTTGTCAGAACTATTATTAGAAGTATCGCTAAGATCAAATTCTTCATTATTTCGTTCGGCATCTGGATTTGGTAACAATAAAGTAATTAAACTACCATTCATAAACCTTTTACTTTTCTCCCAATATGCTATTCTATCCCGTTCAGAATTTGTATAGCGATTTCTTGGGGGAGTAAATCTTAAAGTATAAGCAAACCCTTTCTTCCTATCACAGGTAATACCGACGAATTGTATATTGGTATATACGTGTAAACCACCAAATTCCTTTTGAATCCTCCTTAATTCTTTTGAAAATTCATTATTATTAAGAGAAGGTCTCAAGCTTTGTGATAAAGCATGTATTAAGTTTGTCACACTTCCACGAATGGGTTTCAACATGTCTTCCCTTAATAAACGAAAATGTGTATCAAGCAACTTTGCGGCCCCATTAGGCAGAAAATGTGGTGCATTTGGATAAGAAAATGGTAAGAAAGGAGGACGATCACATAAAATTTCTTCTACCGTAGGAATGATTGATATTTCTGAAATTTCTTCAAAATCGTTATCATGTCTCTTGCCATTCTTAGATAATTCTCCAGGAGGATCAAAAGATCTTTCAAGTTCAGCTTTTCTAGCAATCGCTTTATATTTCAACGATGTTGATTTGGTAATTAATCCTTTTTTATTTTGATCCTGTTCATCAATTAAATTAACAAGTCCATTATTTAACATTCTATTCATGGTATTCATTTCTTTTTCTAATATCATGAAAAAATAATTTCTTGATTCCAAATTATTCATTAACGGGTCAGTTGAGATTGTGAACGGTTGTTGATGTTGAATAGTTTGTTGATATATGGTCTTAAGATTTTGCAAATCTCGAGCAATTTTGTGAATGGTCTCATTGATAGATGCTTCTTTGATCCGACGTAATAATTCGGTGAGAAGCCGTACGATTATCAAAAAAAAGGTTCCGATCCTAACAAATTAAAAGACTATTAATTGAATGTGATGCGTCAAATCAAACCGAAGCCTAGTACGTGAGTGTACTCACGAAGATGGAATAAAAGCATATCGATCGCGTCTCAATAATTCTTCCACGCTAATTTGATTGTCAGCAACAGAATTACGTTGCACTAAAGTCTCCAACATTTTCATTACATTATCATAAAGAAAAGAGTCCTATATTGAAGAAAAGGGATCATATTAATCACGGGGAAAGGAGGAATTACTACGTTCCGTTAAGAATACTTACAAGATTGATGTAAACAACCATAAAGATGGCGTGAACATATTTTTCCAAAATACATTCAGTAATAGAAGTTCTAGTCAATAAACCCAATAAAGGTAATATAACGTGTTGAAAGGATAATACATCGTCCCTGTATCCCGCATCGCACGACATGAAAGGAAAGTTGATGATTTCCCTTAACTTTTTAACGCCACCATCAGGATTACCGAATGCTTTTACAAACTCTTCTACCTCATGACTAGAATGATAATTCGTTACAACTAACGCTGAATTGATAAAGACTCTAATATCACCCTGATTCAAAGATTTAATATCTCTTCTTATAATTTTTTTCCATATGGTTTTAATTAGAACTCCATTAGTAATAACAATTAATCGGTCACTACCATGAGACGATAATTCGGAGGAACGGAAATTTTCTATTGTCGCTTCTTGTTGTGCTATTTTTAATGCTGGAATACTAAGTAATGGAGCTGATGGAGTCCATTGACCGCCTTGTCTATGGCCAGCATCACGACGATCGTAATTACTTCTACCACGACCTCTACTACCACGTCTAAAATCAGGATTTTGTCTATTCATATTTAAAAAAATCAAAATCAAATTATTTTTTTTTTTCCAAAAGCAAAAAAAAAGAAAAATATATTTTTCTACAATTAGGGTAGTATGCATATAAAGGGAAATTTTTTTAATTATTTATTTATTTCCAATTTGGGCAACAATAACATATATGGCATGTGAATTATTGGACTATGCAATAATAAGTTAAACCAATTCTATTTATAGTTAGGTTTGATGCAAGATTTTTTTTTAAATTACGGAACCGTTTTGACATCGGACAATCCGCAAAAATCGTGATAATCGCGGATGTTTTAACATTTTATTTTAATTTTATTTTTCTTTTTTAAGGAAATTTTAAAGAGTGCATATTTCAAAAATTTAACGAACTGGTGTTTTTGACGGGATGATTTAAATGGTTAATAACGTTATTGATGATTAAAACATATCATAATAATAATGATGATGATGATAAATTTCAGCCGCTTTTCAAGCACCGCTAATATTTCATTTTAACAAAATTTCGAAACTTTTTTAAAATACAAAAATTTTATTGGTAACTTTCAATTTTGTTATGCACAATTTTAAAGTTAAATGTTACACAGATTCGGCTCATTACTTTTTTTCGAACCAATAGTATACCCGCATAATGTAGGCGTTGGGTCATTTTCTCCATTGTTCACCCACAAAAAAATATTTAAACTTTATCAAAAATAGTCAAATTTAAAAAAAAATAAAACAAAATTTCACGTTGAGTATTACATTTATTGACTTTACAACAAGAATAATGTGCGATATTAATTTGCGTATTTTAAAATATAAATAATAATAATAAAAAAAGTGGTGTAATCTAAAATGTTCGTAAAAACAAAAAAAAAAATAAATAAAAATTCTTGCACTCTATCATTTTATTCATAAATCTATATACTCGTATTTAAAGTAATAATTCAACGATGGATCGAAATTTTTAAAAATCCCAACCGAAAATTATAAAGGGAAATGCCTGGCCTTTGATGATTATAAATAAAAAGAAATTTCATTTTTTTCAAAATAAAAATACAATTTTCTCGAATTTAATTAAATGAATTGGAATTGTTTGTGGTAATATTCATTTCATTTTAACCTCAAGCGACTTTATTTTGAACCAACATAAACTTTACAGAAAGACAAATAATTAGTATCGTAAAAATTCAATAATTTTCGTCATTTACTGCGCCAATAAATATATATATTTTTTTTTGATTGACAAATAAATTTCTAGAAGCCTAACCGGTTATATGTCATTTTCTAAGTTAACTGGATTATGAAGTATTTAATTTCTTTTGAGCAAGTTTACGATGTAATATCACGTAGAATAATATCTTGGTGAAAAGAAATAAACGGATGTGTATATTTATTTTATGCACAAAATTTTTCTGCATTTTTTTTCAATGCCTTGGAAAAACACAATACCATTTTTAATTCATTTATCGAAAGTGTACTTATGACAATTTATGTGCAGATAATTTTATTTATTTATTTATTTTTTTTTTTTTGGAAGATAAGGTCCCTTATAATTTATAATTCCCGTCATCATTTACATCCGGAAGAACGATTACTTACTTCTGACAACAAGGCAAGGTTGATGCACATTACCTTACTTAGTGATATCCGTCAATCTGGATAATCCACCTTAAATCTGATATAACGGATAGTTTTGCAGTAAATCCGAGAAGGATCAACCCAGATTAATCCGGGGGATTATCTGATTATCTGAATTATCCGACTAATAATGTAATTATTTTTTGGGGCGTAGTACCTAAAAAAAAAAATAGATACCTTTTCTCTTCGAACTGATTCGAAACTTCGAATAGAAGCGTTCTCCGAGGTGCTTCAATTTCTGCTCTTCATTTAGGTGAGTTTCATTTTGATCTTATCATTTTTTAAAAAATAAAATATATTATATTTTTTTTATACTCTAAAAAAATTAAATTTTTAGATACCTTTTCCCTCTAAATCGATATCGAAAGTAATCTAATCATTCGATCGTGTTCTATTAGTTTCGGGGCATTGTGTCCCATTTCTGTTTAGTTTAATTTTTAAGTTTTGTTAGTATTTATCCTAATTGTGGCCAATATGCCATTTATTATTAATAAATACATTTAAATAAAAAAACCTTTTACTTACTTTTTCTATTGTTTATAACTAATAAACTTCTTGAACTGCGCAATAGTGAGTTTCGATTTGATTAAAAGTTATAATTTTTTTTACTATATCGAATGCAAAAAAAAATATTAATATAATTTAATTTATTTTAATTTAAACTTTCCATTCTTGGCGAAATGATGATTGCTGACCAATGGACGTAAC